CCTCTGCTAAATGTATTACGGTAGTGTCAACCAACCTCAGGGGCGCGTCGCGCCAGGCGCTGCACAATCCCCCACCCCACACACACACACACTGAGATCAGGGCCCCGTCGCGCCAGGCGCTGCACAATCCCCCCCACCACACACACACACCCTGAGCTTAGGGCCACACAGACCACCCCACACACACACACACTGAGATCAGGGCCCCGTCGCGCCAGGCGCTGCACAATCCACCCCACCACACACACACACTCACACTGAGCTCAAGGCCCCGTCCGCACTCGGCGCTGCACACGACACCCCCCCACCCACACACACACATTGAGCTCAGGGCCCTATCAAGCCGGGCGCTCCACAGATCGCTCCCCCCCCAGACTGAGATGGGGGGGTCCCATGGCACTGCACGCCGCACAGACCCCGTGCCCCGACTGAGATCAGGCCCTGTCGTGCTGGGCGCTGCATGGACACAAAGTGAGGGGCACTCCCTAGAGCTCACAGGTGAATAGACAAAGGAAGGTCTGTTCTCCCCATTTCACAGACGGGGAAACTGAGGCACGGAGCAATTCAGTGATTTGCCCATAGGGGGGGAGGGTAGAGCCAGGAATTGGACCCAGGTGTCCTGAGCACAGCACTATGCTTTACCAAGACCAGCCTTAGGCTACCTTGCACTAGCCCTGCCACCCAGCCAGCCCTGGGAGGGGAGTGGGGTCTAGTGGTTAGAGCAGGGGGGGCTAAGAGCTAGGACACCTGGGTTCTCTCCCTGGCCCTGGGAGGGGAGTGGGGTCTAGTGGTTAGAGCAGGGAGGGCTGGGAGCCAGGACTCCTGGATTCTCTCCCTGGCCCTGGGAGGGGAGGGGGATCTAGTGGTTAGAGCAGGGGGGGCTGGGAGCCAGGACTCCTGGGTTCTCTCCCTGGCCCTGAGAGGGTAGTGGGGTCTACTGGTTAGACCCCAGAGCCAGGAAGGGAACCCAGAAGTCCTGCGCCCACTTCTGAAGCGCTGGGGACTGAGGCCGCTGGGCAGGGAGCCTGGCCACCCCAGCACGGGGCCGTGTGGGCCCCACCCGGGCCCCACCCCCACGTTTCCAATAAGACTGGCTCTGAAAGTCCCCGCTGACTCAGCGGAAGCAGCTGGGTGATGGGGGGGGGGTTGCCCCTGGGGGTTCCCTCTGGGGAGTGGCGCAATGGGGCCGCTGGCAGGGGCACTCAGCAGCCACTGCTGTGGGGCCGGCATGTCTCCGGGACCCTCTCAGCCCCCCCCCCCACTTCTGCCCCCCC